GTGTTGGAGAGTAAACCACATCAATTGTGTGGCCTACTATCAGTGGTGTGACCTGGTGGGTGGTGATTGGATCATGCGGGTGGTTTCTGATGGTTTAGCAGCCTTCCCTTAGTGCTGTCTCATGATAGAGTTCGTATTAGTCTTCACACTGCTGATAAAGACATACCCAAGATGAGGAAGAAAAAGACATTTAATTGGACTTACAGTTCCATATGGCTGGAGAGGCCTCAGATTCATGGCAGGAAGCAAAAGGCACTTCTTATATGACAGCAGCAAGAGAAAATGAGAAGATGCAAAAGTGGAAACCCCTGATAAAACCATCAGATCTCATGAGACTTATTACCTACCCCAAGAACACTATGGGGAAAACCACCCCCATGATTCAAACTATTTCCCACTGGGTCCCTCCCACAACAGGTGGGAACTTTGGGAGTATAATTCAAGATGAGATTTGGGTGGGGACACAGAGCCAAACCATATCAGAGTTCTCATGAGATCTGCTTGTTTAAAAGTGTGCAGCACCTCCTCCTTTGCTCCCTCTCTCCTGCTCTGCCATGTGAAGACATTCTCATCTCCCCTTTGCTTTCTGCCATGATTCTAAGTTTCGTGAGGTCTCCCATCCATGCTTCCTGTACAGCATGCGGAACTGTGAGTCAATTAAACTTCTTTTCTTCATCAATTACCCAGTCTCAGGCAGCTCTTCATAGAAGTATGAGAACAGGCTGATACAATTATCTGGAATGAAAACTATTCAAAATTTTTTTAAAAATGTTTCAGAAAGTTATTTTTGTTCTGAAAGCACTGTGGTCCAAAGAGTAATAGCTATTAAAATGAAGAGGAACATAGTAGTAAATCTTTATGACCTTTGGTTAGACAAAGCCTTCTTAGATACAACATGAAAAACACATGCAACAATAACAAAAATAGATCAATTGATTTTCATTAAAATTTGAAACTTTTGTGCTGCAGACAGTATCATCAAGATAATAAGACAACCCACAGAATATGAGAAAATACTTGTAAATCATACATCTGATAAGATCATGCATCTAGAATATACAAAGAACTCTTATAACTCAATAATAAAAAGATAAACAATCCAGTTTAAAATGAGCAAAGGGTCTGAATAGATACCTGGGCAAAGATGAATGAACAGCCAATACAAATGCAAATCAAAACCACAATTAGATACCAATTCAAATCCACTAGGATAGCTACAATCAAAATTAAAGATAATAACAAGAGTTGGCAAAGATGTGGAAAAAGTGGAACCCTTTCGTACCTTGCTGGTAGTACCTTGGAAAACAGTTTGGCAGTTTCTCAAGATGTTAAACAGAGTTATCCATTGACCCAGCAATTTCATACCCAAGAGAAATGAAAACACATCCACATGAAAACCTGTTACAATAATGTTCATAACAGCGTTATTCATAATAATCAAGAGTAGAAATAATCCAATATCCATCAGCTGGAAAATGGCTAAACAAATTGTGGCATATTAACATAATAGAATATTATTTGGCAATAGAAAGGAACAAAATACTGATATATGCCACAACATGGACGAACTGTGAAACTTTGACTAAGTAGTAAATAAGCCAGGCACATGGCCAGGTGTGGTGGCTCATATCTCTTATCCCAGTGCTTTGGGAAGCCAAAGTGAGAGACTGCTTGAGGCCAGGAGTTCAAGACCAGCCCAGGCAACAGAGTGAGACCCTGTCTATACCAAAATAATAATAATAATAATGATAATAATTAATTAGCCATATGTAGCAGTACATACTTGTATTCTTAGCTACTTGGGAAGCTAAGGCAGAAGGATCACTTGGCCCCAGGAGTTCAAGGCTACAGTGAGCTATGATTGTGCCGCTGCACTCCAGTCTGTGCAACAGAAAGAAACCCTATCTCTAAAAAGGTTATATATTTTGTATGACTCCATTTAAGTGAAATGTCCAAAAGAAGCAAATCCATAGAGACAGAAAGTAAATTAATGGTTGCCTGGAGCTAGACAGAAGGGATACAGAATCACAGCTAATGGGTACAGCATTTCTTTTATGGGGAATAAAAGTATTCTAAAATTAGATGGTTTCACAATTCTGTAAATATACCCAAAACCATTAAATAGTGTACTTTAAATGGATCAAATGTATGGTATGTGAAATATGTCTCAATAAAGCTGCTAAAAATGACGGGGTAACAACTATTACCATAAAAACACAATAATTAAATATCTTAAACATAGTTTTATAACTAGAATGAGCTGATTCAAATGCCAAATTAAGATGAAACATTTCAATATGATGCCTCTAAATCCAAACAAAGATATAATTGTCTGAATATTTTCAAAACATACGTAGATAAACTTAATAGAAAAAAATTCCTTTTCCATTTTTATTAAGATATTTGGTATAACATGGGAGCAAATAGTAACAAAATCCACAGAATGTGAGAAAATATTTGCAAATCATACATTTTATAAGAACTTGGGCCAGGTGCGGTGGCTCACGGCTGTAATCCCAGCACTTTGGGAGGCCGAGGTGGGCAGATCACCTGAGGTCAGGAGTTCAAGACTAGCTTGGCCAAGATAGCAAAACCCTGTCTCTACTAAAAATACAAAAATTAGCCACCTGAAACCCCAGCTACTTGGGAGGCTGAGGCAAGAGAATTGCTTGAACCTGGGAGGTGGAGGTTGCAGCGAGCCAAGATCACACTACTGCACTCCAGCCTAGCAACAGAGAAAGATGCCATCTCAAAAAAGCAAAAACAAACAAAAAAAAACAACTTACACCAAGAATATAAAAAGAGCTCTTACAATTCAATAATAAAAAGGTAAGTAACCCAATTTAAAATGAGCAAAGGGTCTGAATAGATATTTTTCCAAAGAAAACATGAGAGAAATTCCGAAAGACTGCTCATTGGTTCTCCTGCATGGAAACCAATTAGAGAATGCTTACAGAAGCTGACATGCCTTTGAGAAAAAATGAACTTCAACATGGCCCTATAATTTGAAAGCTGCCATAGAGTAATAAATGAGAAATACCATTAGACAGTTCTTGACACTCTTGAATACACTTCTCCCTGCTGAGATGATGTCAAATCAAAAAGGTTTGAAAGGACTTTTATTCTACACCCTTCAAAATAACAACTGACAGAATTCAAGAGACCGTGGGGAAAGAAAAAAGAATGATCAACTCCCCATAATAAGAAAATATCTGGATGGGCTTGAAGCCTTAAAAAGATTGTTGATAGAATAATGACTGGTAAAGATCCCACATTTTAACTTAACTACTCAGCGTATTTCCTGAAAGTAATACTGTACTAAATATGGGCAGAAGGAAGCTAATTTCTACTAGTTAACCTAAATATACCACTTGTTAAACAAAATGAAATTTATCTTACTTCAAAAAGTGAAGTTTTCAAATTTATTTTTCTCCAGTGATATGTATACAACCTAATATCATAATAATGTATTAAAAACCAAGTTATATAAGGTAGTAGTATATAAAAAGTACATACTCCTACCTAAGGGACTATTTGAAAGGGTTTCTCAAGCTGAAATTACTATTGAGTCCACTATTAATGATTTATGCTCTAGCTCAAATATCCCTTTATTGCCAAAACTTAAGAGGAAACTCAGGAGGGTGGCAGGGGAGGAAGGAAGAGAGAAGAATAGAAGGAGGAGAAAGACAGTGATGATAATAGGTTAAAGAAATACGAAGCCAAAAGAGGACTACATACATAGGTTAAAATTATATGCATGTATACATGTATATCAGCTGTGCTTGGACAACTCAAAGCTGGGAATAGAGTTTTGGTTTCTCACCAGAAAGTTAAAGAGAACTATTAAACTAGAAAAGAACTTACATTGTCAATCTTTCTCTCTCTACCAAGCACTGCCAAAGAATACACATGTGAAAGACATATGAGGGAAGTTCTAAATCTATTAAATTACTATTGGTCTAGAAAGCCTTATAAAAACTGAAAAAATGTTAAATCTTAGAAATCAATTTCCCTCAATGAATTAGCAGAGAAATAATATGCAATCATAACCAAATATACATAAATTTACTTTTCTAAAATTTACAAGCCAAACAGATAATTCACTATACCTAACTTTCAGAGTCCCTCAACTATGTAGTCCAAGCAAACTTCCTGTCTCATTATCCCATCTAAATTTAAGTTTCACCAAATTGTTTTCCTATTTGTTAGTTTACTGTTTTAATTAAAATTTAAATGTAATTTAATCTAATGTTAAATTATTGTTTTTTCTGTGAACTTCCCTCAATCCAAGTCAATTTTACAAACTGCTTTCAAAAAATAACATGTTTTCCTAACAGGAACTATGCTGGAAAACATTTTTTTTTCTTTTTTAAAAAATTCTAAAATCATTAAACAATCCATCCTACTTCATATTTATGTTTTGTGAATCATTTTGGTAATCACTTATATTTTGTGAATCACTTCAGAAAATCTGCCTTCTAAAAATGCATGATTTTAAAATGTTTAATTTAGTGAGTCTTATAGACAAATTTTTTAAGAAACAAATATAAAAAAGGTCAGGTGGCCCTGGAATTAAGAGAGGTAAATTATGGGTTCAAAAATATCCCCTGAATTTGTATGATACCTTTGAAAGGTACTTCACATTCTTTTGGATTTTACTTTTAAATGTAAAATGAAGTAGAGGTCTCTCCAGCAAATTCCAACTCAAAAATTCTATTATTCTTCAATTCCTACTTCATAAGAAGAGTCAACAGGAATGTAGAATATAATAACCATTCATTTTACAAATAACTTTGCACCCATAGAGAACTTTCTCTCAAATATATTGCTGATTTTTAGAGACAGGGTAACTCATTTTCAAAGAAGGGTAAACTCAATTATGATAAATTCGTATTTCTTGACTAATAAAACAATATTGTCCATGATGAAAACTAAGAGATTTTAAATGACATATTTTTTAAATGAGCCAAAATTTTCATAAAACAGAATTAAGCACTTACTTTTACTTGAAGATCCTCAGAACTTTCTGTTGACATGTACAAAGAAAGCAGAACTGGCAAAGTATTTGTGACTGCAACAGCCCGTGCGTGTTCAGGAGTATGTCTTCCAATCTGTCCTAAAGCCCAAGCAGCGGCAGCCTTAATATGATCTTCTGGTTCTTCTGACAAGCAGACTGACAGCTGGGGTACACCCTGCAGCGTGGATCAAAAGAGCAAGTGATATGAATCTAGAGCAGGATTAAAGAGTCTTCCATGTCTCTCAAACATGAGAAGAAATCATTTCAGCCTTGATCCTTTTTTTCTTAAACGGTTCAATAAATAAGCACATCACAGGGGCTGTCATTTATTAAGTCAATAAAATGACTAGAACTAAATTACCTTAATTATCTATAACAATTCAACTAAACCAAGAATATCTCTACTAGCTTTTACCCCCCAAATAGAGAGGTATTTAACCAAACAACAGATGTCACAGACTAGGAAATAAAAGGCAAACCCAGGTGATACTGTGACAAACTAAAAATGTTTAGAATTTTTAAATCTTGTATTTTCCTTTGTTAAAAATTTAATTTAGAAACTTTAAAGAAATTGTCTTTTCACCAACTATAATAAACCTGAAAAGAAAATAACTACTATAGATTCAAAATCAAATAAATCAGTAAGAATCTACTGTATCTAAGTACCTTTTTGATGAAATATATTCACTAACACCTTTCCTAAAACAGTACATAAATAATTTTCCATTAATTATGTTCAACTTTTAAATTATAGTTTTGTCCATTTTAACATGATTGAATGTCAAAACAGCAATGATTACTTTTGTTACACAGATAGCACATGCTCACATTTTGCATCTTAGGCTTCAATTTTATCTAAATAATAAAAATGGAATTAACTAAAAAGCCTCAAATAGATTACATTTTGTATACCCAAGGAACGATTTTTTAAAAAATCAAATTCTAATTCCAGATTCTGCACAGGTATAATTTTCTGACTAATTTGTGATTACAGTAATCATCTTAAATTTAGTACCACAAAAAACTATCACACGGTTATGCTGCCATAGCAAAGGCCAGAATCATGATATATGCTTTAATTCTTTGCTTTTTAATTTGGTTAAGACCAATTTCCTGAAGAGATCATCTGTATTTCTTCATTGGCTTTTTTCCTACAACAAAAAATGTATGTCTGCCAATATTAAAGGTCAGACCTGTCTCCAGAATGAAGCAACTTTCCAGAAAGCCCACATGTCAAGGATGTAAAAAGACTGAAGAAGTAGGGGGAAAAGGAGACAGTGCCTCCACCCCATCCCCAAAGCTCTGACTTGTTGGCCTCAGTTGTAATGAACAACAAATATGATAAGGAATACAAATTTGCTTTAAAATTACTATTTAAATGTAAGGTATTATTGTTAGTCTTTATAGTACTACACAGGAAAAGGAGAGAGTTCTACCATACTATGCGGCTTGCCTGAAACTGCAGGAGTTTCAGCAAGCAACACCTTGATCTCTAATTATCTGAAAAACAAACCAGGTGGGAGCGGCCAGCAGCAACCTTGGACCAAATATGGGGAGAGCTTCCTGGTTAGTTTCAGGAAGACATATGGGAAGCAAATGCAACTGCTTCTTCTTTCATCATTCTTCCCATGCATAAGCTTCATGACTATCCACAAAAGAACTAAGGATCAAAATCCTGGTAACACCCTTACCTTGACCCTTCAGAAAGCACCACTATTGCTCTAGTCACTATCACAGTCTCTGGTAATAGAAGAACAAAAGGTAAAGAGCAGGATAAAAGGGAGTAAAGCAAAGAATTATCATGAAATAGGTAGAAAATAAAGATCCGAGGCCCCTTTTTATTCTGAGGATTAGTAGGGGATAAAAAAAATCCATATTTCTGTTTAACATACAGCAGCAGGTTTTCTATGCTGATAAGGAACCTATACCCTAGAGGGTCACCACACATACTGTAAGCATACAGGCTTTGAAGCACTCATCCAGAGACCAATATTTATTCATTAGCATATATTTTGTGAGCACCTACTATGTGCCAGGGCTGTACTAGATTAAGGGTTCTTACAAAAGTTGTCAACTGAGATAAAGCAAAATCCCTAGAGCAAGGAAACAAAAACACTGCTTTCTGACATGTACTGTGAACTGCCTAAATCTAAGAAGAGAAATAGTTCATAAAAGCTGAAGGAGAGAAAGTGAATAAAAAGGGATGTCTTAGCCATTGTCATCTCCTACTCAAGTCACAGGAAGGGAGGGGTATACTGAAAATGACCACTGGGCATGACATTTACAAATAGGTGTTTCTAACAAAAGTAAGCTTCACATGCTGTAGATACGTACAATTAAACCTTCAAGATACAAAGAAAAAATATTTAAATACAGATAATACTATGCTCAAAATAGTTGATATTTTGTTGATAAGAAACACTGAGTAAAACTTTAAACTTCCCATAACCTAAACCTTACTTTAAGGATTGCTTTGGGAAACTTGCTAATAAGCATTGAAATAATCAAAAATTTTTCAGGTAATTTTTTTGCTCCAGTCAGTTATATTTTGTATTCTGTGGGAGAACATTAATCTGTAATTCTTAGAATTTCTTACTGTAACTAGAAGAAAATGAAGCAAGAACAAACCTTAGAAATGATGACTGCCATTGCTAGGTTCTCAGAATGAGCTGCTACGTAACCAAGCATCATGATGCCAGGCAGCCGTGTGTTCCCTTTGCAGGAGCCAATACAGTCAATTACAGCAGCAGCCCCTCCTGCGTTAACTACCAGCTGTGAGAGCTAAGAGATGGGAACAAGAGTTAGATCACCAGGACCCTATGATGGTCTTTAAATATAGTTTAATATTGTTACACTCTATGTGGAAACTAAAAACAACTGGTGAAATGGAAATATCATTTAGTGAAATCATTATATTTATTAAACAAATATGCAAGTACAATCATACTGCTAGTTCAAATGCACAAACACACTCTCTGTGAGGAGCTTTATTCTGTGGTTCAATTTTTCATGCATGGATGGCACAACTTTTATCCCTGTTATAATGGATGTCAAAATTCCTCACCTAGACACTAAGCCTAGGGCTAGTTCATAACTACTACCGAAACCCCCAATCACAATGGGTAAGTATGAAGCAGATGAATCACTGAATGCTGAAAGACAATGTCAGACTTGAAATATTCTAACCTAATTGTTCCCCCAGTAATGATTACTAGCTGAGTGCACTTCAATTTTGAAAAATCTCAACCAAATAAAGATGTTAGATGAAATAAAGAATGAGGACTTTAAAGTTCAATGAAGTGAAAACTGACTAGTCAAAACATACACAGAAAAAAGATACTTCAGAATCAACACAGGTTTGCGTTGTCTCTGTTTCTTTCCCATCTAAGAACTCAGAGCAGGAAATCACCACGTAAGAGCAGCTATTGGAGTGGTCACAGTAGGCCAAGGGACCTTTGTGATTTCTCCCAACCTGGAGCTATAAGAGTGTTCTTATTACTCCCAGTTGACATAAAATGGTAAGGATGGCAAAGTTCCATAGTCCTTACAATCTAGAAATGGAAAGCTGGAAATGACTAGGAACTGAGATTTCAAGCTCAAACTCTGCTAAGATAACCCAGTGTTCTCAACTGGCGGCAGTTTTGCTCCCTGGGGAACATATGGCAAAGTATGGAGACATTTTTGATTGTCACTACTTGTGGGGGAAGGGTACTTTTGGCATCTAGTGGGAGAGGCCATGGATGCTGCTAAATATCCATCCTACAATGTGCTGGCCCAGCTCCCCACAACAAAGAACTACCCAGTCCAAAACATCAGCAAGTGCAGAAGACAAGAAATCCTGACCAAACTAGATCATGTGCCACAACCCTTAGGCCGTATAAACAAATTCATGTTTTATTTAAAAACTAAAACTAACTGCTACATGTTACTGTGTCTTGAAGTTTCTTTTCACCTCGGGTGTATGTTTTGCAATCTCTCTAATTAAAGTACAAGCATTTTTCTTCACGTATTCATCCTTGTCCTTCAGACAGGTAAGTACAACTGGAAAAATCTCTGCTTCAACAACCATTTCTGCCAGATCCACGGAATGTTTCGCAACCTGACTGAGAGCTGAAAGGACCTGATGCTGTGAAACAAAAAAACAAAACAAAACACTATTTAACATCCATTACAGAGTTCAGATGTAAACAGTTTTGTATATATTCAAATTCCTTTATAAAAGGAAAAAAATGTACATACCTAACACAACCTAAGATTTCTGAGTTTTGAGACATTCACACTGTAGTCTTATATTCAAGTTTTTAACATTTCCTAATTTCCAAATTAGTTCTCAATATTTTAAAACTCTATTATAGTTAATTAAATAACATGACCTCTGGATGAATATCATTTCTTAATTATGCAGTACTAAGGTTGCTAATTTATGAGACATATGATCATTTAGTACAAAAATCATCAAGCAGAACAATATCTTTGACATGATGCTCAAATGATACCATTTCAAAGAACTTTCTATTGCTTAGGTAACTAACAATTTTAAAACATTATAGGATATAAATATTAGAACATAAAAGTATAATTGGTGACTATTAACTAAAAATCAGATTTTAGAAAGCTATAAAAAAAGCTAACATAAATATGGCAATTTCCGTAAGAAACAATATTATAGTGGTGGATTAAAAAATCTTTAGGTCTTTTCCAAACCAGAGATTTGATGATTATGTGATTCTGTGTTTTAATTATTAATGTTAACACTGATGTTACTTCTTGTCTTCAACACTGTACATAGTTTCCCCCGTCACATCTTTGTTATCTAATCTTACAGTACTATTTTCACATATTGAGACAAAATACATAATATATTCATATCTATCTTCAGATAATTTACTAATTATTTTTAGATGCAAAATATTCATACTTTCACATTTTCATTCTCTTACATTATGAGAAGGTTGATGTGTTTTTCAAACTTATTTTGAAATACCTTCAATTTAGCATCAGGGTTCAGGATCATCTGGGCTAAGTGAGCAACAGCTCCTGCATCCACTACTGTCTGTGCTAACTCTGGAGAATGCTTTGCTATATCACTGAGGGCGGAAGCAGCAATCCTTTTCAAAGCAATTTCTGGCTCCTGGATACAGAGTACTAAAAGAGGAACAGCTCCCGCATCCACCACAGCTTGTGACAGTTCTGTGGGTCCAAGAAAAGTAATTAAGTGAGTATGGGTGACTGACCCTTGTGCAAGCCATTTTTCACCCTGACAGATACAGCAAAGAAAAAAGGGGAGGGTGTACTTCACTCTCTCGACATCTGCATTTCAAATCAGGCTTCCTGGTTTCATAAACCATGTGGACCAATCCTGAGCTGAAAAGAATACAGGTCAATACATGGACCTCCATTTACATGAACACATTTGAGGTAGATTAGGCTGAAATGGCTTGTTATTCTTTTTTTTTTTTTTTTTTTTTAAGAGAGTAAGCAGATGTCAGCTGTTTAAGCTCTGACAATTCTGCACTTCTCAATAGACAAGCATTTTGTGCATGGTTTACAATAACAGAGAAAATTAAAGTACCAAAAATTTACCAACCACACTAATTAGGCAGTATTTTGTGCTATTTACATGAGTAAACATTAACATGAATCTTGTGCCAATAATGTCGATTTTTAAATTCATTTTATTTTGTAGTACTTTTAAAAGATTTTTTTAAAAACTTATACAAAATAGAAAGCTGCCTTTTGATTGTTTATATAAAAATACTTTCAAAAATGAGATCTACTACTGATCAATATACTTCTATATATAAATGTTAATGTAAATTTATCTAACTCATGTCAGAAATCAAGTATATATCTTTTGAATACAGGTGTTGATTTACTTGTATGTCCAAGAATAAGAGCTACAAAAATAGCACATTTTAAATTACAGATAATGAGAGACGGGCAAGCAGACCCATATGATATCTATGGAAAAACTGCCTTTTGAGAAGCATAAAGCACTACACACAGTTACAGATTCTACTCACATTGTATTCACGGCCCCTCTTACTGAATTACAGACACCCATTTCTGCAATCTCTTCCTTTCAAATTATGTTCTTATTTTCCCAGATGTGTAGTGCCTTAGTTATATATAGATATCTTAACCGTCAGGCTAAGATCTCTATTTATCATATCACTTAAAGTCTTTAATTTGAAGATAATACCATGTTTGATTTTTCAAAGTATTGGTAATATCACATCTTCTAAAAGAAAACATTAGCAAATATAGGACAGTGTCCAATATTTACTTTCCTTAAATTATCATAATTATCTTAGAAGTCTCAATATTGTACAAACAATTCATTCATTCTTTCATTAAGCAAGTATTAATGGAAGGCTATTAAGTGACAGGCTCATTCAACTCGGTGCCAATGACACACTTCTGCAAATTAACACTACATTCATTAGCAAAGGTATGTTTCAATTTTTAAAATTTGGTGTACAATATGGTATACTATGGGAAGTTCTTATGTAATCTCAAGAACCCAAGGTAGATGAGGGGAGTATGTTTTGTCTTGTTTTTTGAAAAGAAGACAATAGCCAAAAGACTGCAGTATCAATCTGGAAATATAACAGGTTCCTCAGAAACAGCCTCTGGGATGCTACTGCAATAGACTGAAGACCATGAAGACAGCAGGTGACACAGGTGATCACTGTTTCTCTTCCCCCAAACACCCCCACTCCCATCTAAAAGAAATGGGAAAAAAAGTATAAAATGTTATATTACATGTACTTTCTAAATAAAATCTCATATTTTATGATAATTATTAACATGCTACTTAAGAATCTGACTCAATCCAAATTATACAGGTGTCATATAGTAATAATTTATATGTACCTATTTAAGCACACCTGGAAAAGAAAAAAATATATATATGGCTGAATATTTTATTTTGAGAAAGTGTAAGTATTAGTTCATTTACTCATGTATTTTCACTTTTATATCCAGTTTCTAAGGGTAAAGAATATGTAGCAAACTACAACTGTTTAAAAGTATTATTAACAAAAACTCAAGATACTTTTTTAAAAAAAAAATCTATTATCTGTCTTTATAACTCCAATTCATTTGACCTGTTCCTTGAGTAATTCTTGAATGCAATATCCTTCTTCCTTAGAATACATAATGTTAATAAGAAAGCAAATTGTGTTCTTCTAACTCGTTACCCAATCTCATCCTAGGCTGTTTCCTATTCTCTCCACAGTAGCAGTGTTAAATGTGGGGAAGTCTGGGGCTGGCAGTGGAAAAAGATTTGTCATGAAGGTAATGAAGTTTCCAAGGACGTGAAGTGGGCCTAGCAATTTTGTACTTGCAATTTCATATAGTTTACATCCCCAAATGTATACGGTTCTACTGCTCTTGAGTAGCACACTTTTTACTTAGAAATAGTAGTGTTCTCCTAGCTTCAAACATATAATAATATTAAATATCAGTGAGTGTATATACAACTAAGAATACAATAGGCCTAAATAATGTAGACCCTAAATATTACACATCCAATAGGCTATTTCATTCTGCCTCTATCACTACTCTTTTTCCCATTATTGTTTCCTCCGGTGTTTCCATGCCAGCCACTGTTGGTGTCTACCCAATAGCCATTGTCAGCTTGGGCAAAGGCTTGTGAGCCAATCCCAGGCCTGAGCAGAAGTCAGCTGGAAGCAACTGTGAAAGCTCTGTAATAACCTGAGATACACAGCAGAAAATATCGCCTCTTCTTTGTTGGACGTGGTCATGTCTGCAAATAACATCTGGAACTCCTACATCCATCTTGCAATTCTAACAGAAGAAATCACCAATATGCTGAGGATGGCTGAGTACAAAAATGAAAAACATCTGGGTACTCCAAGACACTGTTCAGCTGTAAAACCAGCTTTGGAACTGCCCCTACTCTGAACTTTGTGTCATGTGAATTTTAAAAATGTCCTTATTGCTTAAGCCATTTGTAATTTACATTCTATAACTTACAGCTAAAAACATCCTGATATAATTCTTAAGCTTGGTGTCTTTACATACCTTTTCTCTCCTTCACTCACTGAGTGTTCATTAAGTGCTTACTATGTGCTTGTTGCACATTTGGCTAGATCTTGGGGAAGGGAAATAAAGTAAAACATTATTCTGTGCTAGAAAACCCTGCTCAGAGTGAATACATGAACAGACCACTACAAGGACAGAGCAGAGCCAGGAATCAGGTCTGTGGAATGTTCAGGGAAAATGTATACAGAAGTGTCATTTCAGGAAGTACTTCCAAACTTACTTCCTTTTCCTCTTTTCTTTTTTTCTGTATTTTCTACTCAAAAAAAAAAAAGCAGTAGCAACCAAAACACATACAAAACTGTGCACACCTAAAAATCACTTCCCATAGGAGAACTCTCATGAAGATAATTTTAAACTCAAATGTGGAAATGAGTTTTTAGATGTTCAGTGATCACACTTATGAAACTGAAGATTGATACGTACCGACTTAGATGCTCATAAAAGGGTGACCAAAAAAAGCAGTGTGCCAAGAAATTTATCTTCAGTCCCTGAAAATATCATTGCCTCATTTCAAATATTAGGTAAATCTTTAAAAAAATTTTTAACATATGTCTTCTATTATACAATAACATGTGACATAGCCTATATTGTTATATAACAAACAAGATTAAAAAGAGGTCATAACTATGTCTAAAAATGCAAAGAGAAAAGGCTACATATTATACCAACATACTAACAGCATTTATACTAGGTTGATGGTACTATGGGTGGTATATTTTTTCTCTGTTTACCAAATTTTCTTCAATGTGAATTTTTTAATAAAGAAATATAAGGATGTCTCTCTAATGTAGCTACTGCTGGGCCTAACTGTACAAACATTATTATTACAAAGGAAAGACAAATATAAGATTTTTAGCTTATTTTTTAATATAGCAGAAAGTTTCTTATTTTAAAAGATGGTGGAATATATTTCTTCTTTAATAAGGCACAACTAAATAATGCACATCATACATATTACATATCCAACAGGCTATTTCATCCTGCCTCTATCACTATTCTTTTTAAATAAATTACATGAAAAGAGTATGTAATTTTTTTTCTTCAAAGAATTACTAACATATACTAGAAATAATATTCATTTACTTTTTCACACTTATCCTGTTGCCTTAATTCATACCCTTACTAAAGTTAAAATATTACGTTTTTTAAATGATAGGGGTTATTTACTTTTAACCTTTTTTTTTTAACTGCAAACTATCAGAAGAAATTATCCTATAGCACCTTCCTTATTCACAAATAATAATTAAAGTTTTTTATTGCACATGTAGACAACTAAATGTACAGTTACCAAATTTGATGATTAGCTGTTTTTAGTAAAGGAATAACTGGTTTTATTTGGCTTAGGAATAGCTCATTTTGCGTGGAAAACTGAGGCAGCCGGAGCGTCACCTTTTCACACTTCTCTGCCTCTCTCAGTTTTTCCATAATTCTTTCCAACAACATTTATGGGCCTTATGTGCATACAATTTTTTGATCAGTAATAACATGTAAAAACTTGGGGTGACAAGACTTTGCTTCTCACACAGTTGCATTTTCTTAAGAATTTCATTCTGCACTGTTTTTGGAACCTGTGTTTTGGGTTTGTTTGTTTGGTTTTCCTAACTAAGGGCTACACTTGCAGTGATCTGTCAGTAACAGGCATGGGAAGTGTTACAATTTAAGTGGATCAAAATCTTCAACTTAGAATAATCAAAAACCTCAGTATGACATTAGGTTTAAGTTTAAAACAGAAAGAGAACATAAATTAGAAGGAGGACATTTAAGAACAACAACATTCATAATATTATTACTATCTAAAGCTGCATGAATGGAACACTAGAAATGACTCTATGTTGACTGGAAGGGAAGAGAGCCGACAGGAATGCCCCTCAGCATAGCATTAGTATGGCTGTTACTAGGCAAATTGGACAAAAGTGATCTTGCTTTAATAGTGCCCCAGTGACTTCAGCCTCTCTCAATTATGTCATGGCTAGTTGTCTGTTTAAATCAGAAATGGTCAATGCAAATAGCCACAGGGCCCAGGAAAGTAAGTAAAATAAATGAAGCCAGAGGATGTTTGGAAGGGAAAAAAAAAAAAAGGTCAGGGAGTGGGAGAGCAGAACTGAAGTACAAAAGTCTAG